TATATATATATATATATATTAGAAAAATACCATTTTGAAGTATAATCTATCAGGTCAAAAGAGAACTAAGTCTGTATAATAAGTCTGTAAAAAAACTCCATTCTCTCTCCCAAGGTATTATTAAAGTTCTCCTTCCATCAGTCTGTCATCCATTCATCCATCCATCCATTCATCCATCCATCCATTCATCCATCCATCCATCTTGAATAGGTATGCTTAGTACACAGTAAAGACAAGTTATTTAAAATTAGAAAAATGCAAATGTTGAGGTTGAAAAATGAGGAGCATGCTGACATGCAAATAAATGTAAATGTGGTTCCAGTTAGCACGCCTGCCTTTCAAAGGGAGAGCAGAGATCCGTGGGTTCGATTCCCAGATAAACCACATACTTGGCCCTGCAACAGTTTCAGAACATCTGCTGTTAACACAAGAATTTCCCCAGTGTGGGATCAATAAAGTTAATGTAATATGTAAAAAAAATGTATTTACAACAATATACACAGTGAAGGTGGAGGTCTTCACTTGGTCTTCAAGGCTTCTGTTACACTGTCCTGTGAACAAATGAACATTAAAGGTCAAAAGGACATATTACATTACATTACATTCCTCCTGATGAAATGAACATCAGGAGGAAAGTGCCAAATGCTGATGTTGGTCTCGTGAGACAGGTACCAGTCTGTGTTCAGAACACCCCACCCCACCCCACAGACAGACTGACGAACGTAGTAAAAGTCTAGGTCAGTGGTTTGCTGAATATTTATCTAACGTTGTATTTACAGTAAGTCTCCTCTACCATGTCAAAGACAGCGCAGCAGCATTTAACAAAAACTGATAACGGGAAAAAAGTTAAATTAAAAGTTACCAACAATTGTTATGTCACAGCTCAGCTACACACACACGACATATCACCTAAAAACAGTGACATCATTTCTCGGCGTCAGGTCACTCCGTCCGCTTTGATCATATGAATGCATCACAATCGTCATAGTTCAATGTCTAATAATTGCTTTATAACTGCAGGTGAACCCGTCCACGACAACGGCAGCGTCCCTCAGACTCTAACCAAAACCACAGTGGAGGTTCAGACTCCTCCATCAGGAATTGTTACTGCTAAATGAGGCTCATCTGTGTTGTGGAGGTTCAGGGACCTGGATATACACCAGGACAGAACAATGATCCAAATATACCTCAACACTTGTCTGATACTACTATTTCATATACAGTGGATATGAAAAGTATTCAGACCACCTTAAATGTTTCACTCTTCGTTATATTGCAGCCATTTGCCAAAATCATTTCAGTTCATTGTTTTTCCTCATTATTGTACACACAACACCCCCTATTGACAGAAAAACAGAATTGTTGACATTTTTGCAGATGTATTAAAAAAAGTAACGGTGAAACATCACATGGTCCTAACTTTTCAGAGCCTTTGCTGTGACACTCATATATTGAACTCAGGTGCTGTCCATTTGATGTGATCATCCTTCAGATGGTTCTACGCCTTCACTGGAGTCCAGCTGTGTTTGATTCTACTGATTGAACTTGATTAGGAAAGCCACACACACCTGTCTATAGAAGACCTTACAGCCCACAGTGCATGTCAGAGACAATGAGAATCTGAAGCTGAAGAGCTCACAGACAGAACTGTGTCAAGGTTTCACCAACATTTCTGCTGCTCTGAAGGTTCCTCAGAGCACAGTGGCCTCCAGAATCCTTAGATGGAAGACGTTTGGGACGACCAGAACCTTTCCTGGAGCTGGCCGTGCGGCCAAACTGATCCTTGGTGAGAGAGGGGAAGAAGAACCCAAAGATCACTGTGGCTGAGCTCCAGAGAGGCAGTCTGGAAATGGGAGAAAGCTGTAGAAAGTCAACCACCACTGCAGCCCTTTATGGCAGAGTGGCCGACGGACGCCTCTCCTCAGAGAAAGACGCATTAAAGCCCACATGGAGTTTGTTAAAACCCCCTGAAGGACGGCAAGAAGGTGAGACATAGGACTGAACTTTTTGGCCTGAATTCTAAGCTGTACGTGTGGAGAAAACCAGGCCGTGCTCAGAAAACCTGTCCAACACAGTCCCAACAGTGAAGCATGGGGAAACATTAGAACAACAAGAAGAAGAAGAAGAAAAAATGAAGGCACCTCAAACTTTTACATTCTGGATAAGAGCTAAAGACTTCATACTTCCCTCTAGTGACTGCATCCAAAAATGACAGTAACATTTTTGTGTTTTGGAACAACAAAAAACCTGGAGTACCAGCTCCTGTTTGTCACTTTCACCTCATCCATTCTCTGCCAAAAGTGAATGCCCTTTTCCTTACTGTGTTTTTACATATTTTAAAATTGCTGCATCCTCCAGCTCTGTGTAGTCTTCTCACTAGTAGAATAAAGGAACCAAAGTGTGTACTAAGTTACTGCACAGTTTACAAAAGGCAAAGACACAAAAGTCTTTTGGCCAGCCTGTCTCACCATTTTGCCTGTCTGTGGGTGTTGGACTTTCAGCTTGTATTTAATATAAGCACGAAGTCCTCGACTGCTTCCAACAGCGCCGGTTGAAGGTTGATAATGGCCTGAGACACAAATGAACATTAAAGGTCAAAAGCACATGGAAACAGTTGATTTGAAGCTAATTCACCAGGAAAACCAAACATTCACTGCCCAGCGGAAACTCACTTCATTTGTTTGCTCCATTGATGTGTGAACTCGCTGAACATCATCCTCTACTGGAGCAGAGTGGAACTGACAGCAGAGTCTTTGGTCACAAGTGGCTGTGAAGGAGAAAAGGATGAAGGAAAGTGAACTACTGTCATTGTGACACACCACTGTACCACTGCACAACCAAATGTGACCTCT